ATTATCCCAAACCTTCTCCAGCCAAGATAATTAACATTGATCTTCCTCGCGTCTCTCGTTTGTTGGTGAACACTCCGCAAACGGATCTGCTACGTGTTCACGCATTTGTATTTAGTTGAGCTTAAAGGACCACCGTAGTGTCCTTGGTACAAAGAGCCAATCAAAGATCTTAAACATCCTTCAATACCTGGGGATCCCACACATGTATGAGCCACGAATTATGTGGCCTAGGATAAGGTATGGGACCAAGCAGGATCGCTTAACTTATCAACTTCCATGAAGAAGTGAAATTTTACTTGGATGCACAACACTGACTTAGGGGGGAGGCCAGTGAGATCCTTGGGAGGAGGCTCCGTTTTCGTCATTAGCAGCGCTATGACTCGGGGGTCCTATAACTAAAGAATTATGAAGAGGAAAAAAAATTTTACAAAGAGATGTTTGATTTAACGGGCGACGCCCCATAGGTGTGGATTTTGAATGATGAAATCAGCGTGTAATTGTTCTTCGGTTGCTAAAGAGAAGAAATCAGTGAAGGCTCGAAATCGCTCTTCTCTGGTCAGGGGATCACTTAGGTTTCTAGCCGAGCAGATCCAAGTAAAATAAATATCGAGATTATAATCTTGGATTTTCTGATGGATGCTCGCACTGAGTTTCTGAGTGCGTGGGCATCTAGTGCTGTTCGCGCATAGCGCGAAAACGTCGCCTAAGTTATCCACGTGCTGAATGAGAAAGTAGTCTCGGAGAAGGTGTGCCCAAATGAATGTGGAAACGTTCACTGCTAACGCTTCCAATATGCCTATGTGCATGTACTCGCCGGAGAGGAAGCGGGGCAATGAGTTCAGCTTTAAGCGGAAAAAGCGTGCGCCCTGTGGGAGGTTGATGTAAGCGCCAATTGACATCTTGTGATCATGGAGGTTGTCGAGCTGCCCACGTTTCAACTTCTCGTTGAGACCTTGCACGTCCTCAAGGGCAGCGTCCGAGTACGCGTGGCCAACGGGTTTGTCAACTCGAGTTGGGTTTATGTGCAGCGGTTTAATGTGGTGCAGCGCCCACACCATCAGCTTAATCGAGGCCAACGCTCTGTTTTTCTCGGCTGTTTGGCTTAAGCATCTCGCGAAGTTGTCTGCTAGGAAATCGACCCCTTTAGCGATGAAGATCTTGAGGCGATCTAATGATGCGCAGTGGCGGAACAGCCCTCTAAAGGTAAGGACGAGAGATAGCTCGACCCGATTCTCAGCGAACTGGCGAATAAGCGCATCACCCAACTCCACACAACGTTTGATTTTGTCTGGGCTAACTGATATCTTCAGCCCGAAACTACGCAGATTGACCGGGTTTATCTCGTAGGCCAATCCAAGGACCGTGATCGATTTCTGGAAGCGATGGTGACGATCGTCTTTCTCGGGACTTCGCCACCAACCTGTGAGCCCTAAGTAAAGGTTGACCAATTCGATTTGTTTCGTAATACATTCTGGTCTGCATTGCGGATGAAAGTCGTCTATGTAAGCAGTGGTGAGTACTTGGAGTAGAACTACTATAATCAGCTGATGAATCTCGCTTGTATGAACGCACTCGTGAACGCTCGAGAGTGCCCCAAACAAAGCCACCGTAGATGGGGTCACTTGCCATCTGCGAAAACGTCCTTGATTGTCTGGCTTCGATGACACTTGGATGGAATCCGGTTGGAGGTGAGAATCAGGCACGCTGTGGGGGACGGGGTAGAACATTATGTTCTTGCTTGGATCTTCCGTACCGTGTTGGAAGTAGTAACCTTCCATGTCCGCTTTTGCCATGGCCGGCACGAAGCTGTACTTAAGGTCAGGCTTGCTGACTGGGTTTCGGTAGATCTTCTTGTTTTCAGGTTGCGACTTGTCGAAGAGTTGCTGGTGTTCTCGAAGAAGTTGCTGCCTGATTGACTTCTCCGTAGTCACATCCTCTTTAACGTCTTTCTTATTCTGTAAAATGAGATGTCGTTTTTTCCATTCCACATGTTCGGACATTAACGCGCAAGATAGTTCGATGGATGCGCGGGAACCCAGGAGACGCATGCGCTCTTTCACTACCTGAAGCTTGTTCTGGCCTCTTAAGTCGACGCAGGTGCGAATCTTGGTAGGGTTCTCCGGAGTCGGCTGATGAACCGGAAAAGGGACAGCACCTCCAACGGCCGTCACGGACGAGATTGGAGCGGGCTGCCAGAAACCTTTCTTGTGCATCTTCAAGTACTGCTTCCACAAGACCTCAATGTCCTCCTCTGGTGCCCAGTGGTTGTGGTCTGGAGGCATACGCGATCTTCTGGCTGCCTCTTCAGCGATTGCGCGTTTCGCCTCGACTTCGTCCGAGTCCAGCATCCTCCAGAAGCCACATGGTTCCACCTCTTTATCCATGGAAATGCCATTAATCATTTTGCGCTTCCATGAGAGAATGAATTCAGCATTCTTGTCGACCAGGGCGTCGCAACCCCTGGCGATAGATACTGCTAGTTCTAGTAGCCGGTGAGCGAGTGCGAAGTTCTTGCCATCGTAAACGACTTTAAGGTGAGGA